GTATAAGTGGGTAAGTATAAGTATAGTGCTTGGGTTTTGGGTGAGTTAACAGCTTTCTTTTCTGGATTTTTAGCTAAATGGTCCTGCATGTCTAGCTTGGTATATTTTCTGTTGATTGAAGCTACTACTTGGGCTTATTTTAAGTTTGGATGAATGCTCATGACCTGTATTGAACCCGGTCCATGTGTTTAGTTATGATTTATCAGTGGTTTTCTTGCTTTCTGCCTTACAAACTAAGTTTGAAAGTGGTTAGAGTTTCCTGTTCATAGTAGAATTGCATGTGCTTTGTTTTAGTGTCAGTACTTGTAATTGTGGGATATAATAGGCTTGGGTTTCTAAAGAAAAGAAGCGGTTTTTCTTGGGTTAAATGAGTAGAGAATTGAGTCGAGTTAATGAATCTGTAGTTGCATGTCTTTATTTGTTGGTAATATGAACTGCGATCTAATGCATGCAATGAGAATTTGTTAAATTAATGTTTTCAGAAAATTTTATGATTTTTGTTAACAGCCAAATGATGTCAAACCCTGAGGCCCAGAAGGATAATTCTGCTTTGACACCAGCAGCCAGCAATGGGATGGAGAAATCTCTTGAGATTCTGGGCAAGGCTATGGAACAGTATGCAATTGCTATAGATAAGCCTCGGCAGCAACAGGAAGCTGAAGCAAAGCGCCGAACCTTTTTTCAGTCCATGAAACTAAACCCACCTACTTTCAAGGGCAGTCTTGACCCACTGGAAGCCGAGAATTGGATTCAAGATATGAAACAGATATTCGACGTCCTTAAATCTACCGATGAGCAGAAAGTCACATATGCTACCTTTCTGCTGAGGGGAGAAGCTCGTAACTGGTGGGAGTTCACCAAAACAGGTTTCAGCGAGCCTGTGACTTGGTCTATGTTTAAAGATGCCTTCTTGACACGCTACTTTCTAGAAGTTTATAGGAATCAGAAGGAAGAGGAATTCCTGAACTCGGAGCAAGGAAACATTACTGTGACTGAGTATGATCACAAGTTCATTGGGCTTTGTCGATTCACTCCTTATGTTGTATCCGATGAAGATGCGATGGTCAGGTTTTTCAGGAGAGGCTTAAAAGTTAAAACCCAGTATTAGGGTAACTCTGCGGTTTTAACGTGACTGAAAACCGAGATTTGGTTAACAAGGCTCTCCTTGTGGAAAGCTGCGGTGAAGAGATTCAACAAGCTGGAGAGCAGAAGTGACGTAGGCACAATGGACCTGAAAGGATTATCAACTAAAGTCAGAGCTTAGAATGATGGAAAAAACTCCGAGAATGCTTTAAGACCAGGATCTATATGCTGTTTTGCCTTTTGGACTCAATTGCTAGTACTTTAAATTGAGTCTTCCTGTATAAATCTAGGTGTCAGCAATGTAGTTTGTTTTTGTTGGCTTGGAGTTTGCTAATGCTTTTGGCTGTCCAATGTAATTAAGGTATTAAGCTGTATGATATATGTGGTATCATCGAAAAGATATTCACAAGTGTCATAGTTCCTTTACAAAAGTTTTTTCTTCAGTTATGTCTTCAACACGGCTAGGAACTCAGAAGGTGGAACTAAGAAGGTAGAAGCTCAAGCTCATTTTCTGGTTCCTAGGCGTAGGAAAATTTTCTACCAAAGAATGGGACTAAATCACACTGTAAATAACAGAGAAAACTTAAAAGAACCGCTGCTGTGTGTTTCTTAATTCAGCAAGTTCTGATTCTACAGCTCCCTCAGCTACGCCATGCAGAAGATACTTCTAATTCAACATCCTCTTCCCACCAGGTAGAAGCCTGTTGTATTTAGATGACATGACATAGCTAAGAAAAATCACTTCTTTTTATAGGTTAAAAATGGTATTAACTAAATTAAGATGACAACCTTGTAGCCTTTACGAAGGAATTCAAGTGAGCTTCCTTGTTTCTCTTGCAACCCCAAGACCCTTAACAGTTCTTCCTTGGTCTAGAGAAAACCAAATAATTAGTTGAAAGCACATCATGTTAAATTAAACATCTTACAAGTATGCATATACCTCTCCCAAAGTGAAACGAGTTTCACTCTCAGCTACGCAAGCATAAGAACCATCTGCTTGTTTAAGCATCACCTGCCAAGGCCCTGTATAAAAACCTAGTCAGGCATAAGGATAAACAAATCAACTTTAAATTAAAAATCTGATTACAGGGAAGACCATACACCTTTTAAATATAACTTCCTAAAATGCCAATCGTCACTAACAAAATGGTAAATAGAAGATGCAATAGTCTGCAAAAATAGTCATGCTTCTCTGATGAATGTTTGCCTTCTGAATTTTTTCCAAGTTAACCTAAAGCAACAGTTAGACAAGATAAATAACCTACCCTAAGTTCAAGTGTATTTTTATGAGTTAGAAGAGTATTTTTCATTCTTGTTTTCCCACGTTTGTTATTTAGAGGGGTCTCTTTCAAAATAAGTGGAGATTGATGACAGTCCTTTCTTACAAATCAAGTATGTCAATGCAAGGCTCTTGGTATTTTGTTGATGGTAATTATGTTTATCTAAAATAATGCAATCCGGTGCCAACATTGGTGGCAATGCACCCTTTATGATGAATGCCTAGGGTGATGAATGTGAAAATAAGAAAAACTACAGAAGAATTAAAAGCTGCTGTCATAGGATTGTGAAACAGAACAAACTACTAAGAAATTTTTTGCTCACCAGGATATTGTCGAAACAGTGCTCCACTATAATTTACAATGTAAGGTGCCACTGCTACTGTCTTACAAAAGAAGAATACAAGAGGTCAACAAAACTGTATCAGAAATAAAAATTGACAGAAAACAAAGATGGAGGCCAATGAGAGAATAGATACCTTGGAATAGTCTCGGATTCGAATATAGAAGACTGGAGTAAATTGAGAAAGAAATCGGTAGTGCAAATCTTTGGTAGGAAATCCTAGGAGACCCAAGTCAGCACTGGAAAGACAAGAAGCTTTCACCGGGTAATATTAATTCTTAGGAGAAAATTAAATGATAGGCGGAATTTTATACTGAAAGGTGAAGCATACAAAAAATTATACCGCAAAGTATCAAGTTCAAGATTGAATAAAAGTGTGGGGGTCAATTGTGCATATTTCTCCTGCAATGAAAATTAAACTGGTAAAGGAAGCGATAATGGATCAAAAAGTAGAGGAAGTCTATATTTGCAACTAGACAATGCAGTCCAATCCAACTAGATATTAACGAAATTAAAACTCTGGATTGCTGGCAAAACCAATAAAAAAATTTAATGCAGAAAAGAACCTTGGGTTGATGACTAAGACCTCTATAATAAGTTTTTATGAGGCAACTAGTTACCCTTTGAAGAAACAGTTAATCCACTTGTAACAGGCACAAGTCATTTTGTTATTTGAAGTTCTAATGGCCCTGACGTGATTTTGCAAATATAGCATTTGTCATTTTAAAATAATTTTCTTGAATACACCTGAAAAATAATACAACTAGGCCACTAGAAATAGCTGAAGAATTCATGGAAAACCATGAGACGCGTACAATGGTAAAGATATTTATAAAACAAAAGAACCATACCACATACTTCTCTATAACTGATAGTTCACGTGTGCTACAATTAATAAATACATAAAGTGATGGTGGTTCTTTTGGTTCCCATCGACCTGCATTTGCAAAATATCATAGAAAGTTAACCTCCATTAGAGAGAACAAAATCAACAATCTATCATCTTAAACTTTGAGGATTAGTTTCTCCAATCTGCTAATAGGCCACATGACTTGATGATCTAGTATTTCCTATCCTGAAAGCCTTCAAATGATAAAAAATTTACAGCAACCAGTTAGTGTCTGGCTAAGAAGAAAAAGCAAGCATTTTCTGATTGTGCCTTGTACCCATCGAAAAGTACAATAGACTTGTTGCACTTCAATTAAGTGTCTCAAAGAATGGACAGTCTTTTTTAACAACTAAAATGTCCATTTGTAGTTCTCCAGTGACTGTGTATATCTAGTCAGCCCTAATAAAGAAAGATCCTTTAAAAAACAGGTTCATTTAGTTCTGACTTCTGAATAAGGAAAATAGATATTCTATCAGAGAGGCTACCTTATCTAGCAAAGAAATACAATAAACATCCCAGTTTGTAAATGACACTAAGGTCATGGGAACCATAATAGTGCTAATGTGCCATTTTGTTTGTTTTCTAGATAGGACATAGGATTAGTGGAAATGCCCATGCTTAAGATTTATCTCATATTACAGAATCCTAAACTTTTTTGAAAGGACACTAAACAATTACAGAACTAAAATCATGAATATCAAGCACTTGCTCGGATTGCATGCTTGAAGGTCTCTTCTGTTATGACCCATGATATCACAACTAACACAGCAAAGTGAGTGAAGAACCAGTAATACCAACTTCATCTTCTCTTGCCAGTTGCCAGGCACATGCATCACTATCACTTAAAGGTAATAATGCAGCAAATTTTATTGCGCAATAGACAGATAAGCAAAACTTTTCAAACAGACTTTAAACGAAAGCCTGAGCTTGAATTTATGGAACCAACCTTCATTTTCATCCTCAAAATCAAAATCCAAAGTATTCCTGATAGATCTGAAGAATGTTGTGACTGGTCCACTGGGAATATCATCAAGGGAACCTATAGATATTCCATCAATCTGAAAGTAAAGAATAAAAAAATGAAAATCCCCTTAAGAGTTCAACTTCTTCAACTAAAAGCCTCTAGTTTCTAAGAAATTTCAGTGGCATGTATATCACTGCAACCTTCAAATTTTAATGCGTTAATGAAACTAAGAGGATAAGAAAAAGCATCTCATTTGATTATAGTTTGAAAAAAGAAATCTCCGAGTTTGTCAATATAAGGGCACAATTAGGTCAATCCCCAAACCAGCCCACTAGATGCAACCCATGTGAGACCCATGACCATAAGAGATACTCATATGAGTCATATCAGAAAAGAGAACCTCCACAGAAAGGTAAATGACCATGTGGCACAGATATGGACGCAAGATTCAGACAAAGATACATGGTGACATGCTCAAAAAGTTATACTTAGACTAGGTATTTTAAAATAAAGATTCTTGTCTGCACGCAAATATTTTATTAATTTTAACTTAAAACATAAATAAACAATTGCAACAAACTCTTAACACATAACTATTTGCCCCACATTCCCCACTCTCCTGTCTACCTTTCAGAGCATGCACTAAACAATGGCAAGAAACTCTGAATTTTGTACAACATTATGTATCCAAATCCAATATTTTTGTTTATTTATTCACATAGAAATGCACTATGCAGTATTGGAGGTGTATCCTCATTGGATATCAGCAGAATACTATCACGTTGAGTTGCACTATGCCAAATTCAGATTTTCTGAGTACCACCAACTGAACCCACCTCAATAGAGCAGCAGATAAAAATAAAAATTAAATGTATTCTAAGTAACATTTTTACCGAATCAAAAGCTGATTTGAAAAGTTGTGAGGCCCTGCGCTTCTCTGGCTTGTCAGGGAACACCTATAATACAGACATGATACTAGCTTGGATTTTAAATGAAAAAAAAAGAATTGTCAACAAAAGAAATCCTATTCTTACAATGCAAGCTTGAATATCCCTTTTTTCTTGGAGCTTCTTGACCATAGTCAAGGCAAGTTGAATGTTGGCGTCAATGAACTCATCTGACGATCCCTTCACATATTTAGACATTAGAGCAAATTACAAACATAGGATTTTGCATAGAAAAACTACCCACTCAAGAAACTTGGAAGTTTAAAGGGGTACCTTGTAAGAAGAAATGTCGCTAGGCAAGGGCCTGAAAATGCAGAAAAATTACATGAATGAAAAACAAAAAGGTCCCATTGTCAGAAAAGAGCAATAACAAATTATTTCCAGTTTTGTCAGCTGAATCTTTCAAGATACTGCTATAAAAAAAGGAAAGAGAATACTTATATCTCTATAATTGGCAAACAAAAACTGTTACTTGTATTTTTTCTTCCAAGAATTTTCACGGAAACCAAACAGAATGCGAATACAAACTCAATAATGCAAAAAGAAAAGGGGAGAAAAGTGTTACGGGAAATCGATTTCAAGGCGGATTTTGCCATCCTCAAGAGCATAAGCGAGAGAGTTGGCCGCATCGGTGACGAGGACCTCGTACGATTTCGGCTTGTAAACGGAGATTCCTTTCTTTGGGTCAACAGACTCAGAGGTTCGCGTTGATGGGGGTGCTGCCTCTCTGTTGTCCTTTGCTGCGCACTGAATTTTGAGTTTTGGGAGTGGAGGGCGGAGAATGGAGAAAGGGGAGAGTGGGGAGGGACGAGAGAGTGTAAATCGGGATGGGGGAGAAAGGCAGACTGCGAGAGGAGAGGGGAGAAGGAGAGCCGTCAGAGGCATGGCCATGGAGATGGAAGGGAGGCCGTTAGTTTGCGCCAAATGATTAGATAATAAACGAACGG